GCTGGTCCAACTCTGCGCCAGGCCTGAATGAATGTGATTTTTAGTAAGATACAAGGGTGGGCAAAAGTAGATTTACAGTTGTGAGTACATGAAACACAGAGTTGATTTTTGTATTATTATTTCTTAATTATTACAGTATTTATTGTTACTACAATCAACCTACTTTTGCCCACCCCTGGATTTTTCTCCTTGAAACCTTAGGACTTCATAAGATGCATTTACCCTCTAAAATTCAGAATTTACGCTACTTGGAATGTTTCCAGGTCTAAATTGATGATGGCCGAAGGGAGTTACTATTTTCTCAGCCCCTGACACATGCAGGAAACAGTGTCCTCTTTAAATGTCAGGGTCTTTGTGACCTCCCGCACTGGTTTGCTCTTCTCCAAATGCCTTTTCCTCCTGCGTACAGATAGTGCAGCCCTGATAAATCCAGTATTTGTTTAAGGTTCGCTCTGTCCTGTCATTCAGTGGAGAACTCTTTGATCAGCAAGGAACAGATGCCCAAAGTGTATTCATGTACTTGCCAACATATCCTTCTCTTACGTGTATTAATAATTCATTAATGACTTAAAGTCTTTAAGACATATTAGAAAAATTTCAAAATCTCTTCTGCTTCTGATCATCAAAATATTTAATTGGAAATAGCTACCTGTGACAAGTTTCTTTAAGCCAAGTTTCTTTAAAAAATCATGTAAAAAGTTTTAAACAGATGAACAACATTATTGGAAGGGGGACATTTTTTGTCAGAGGTGGAGGTTGAATCTAGAAGCAAGATACTGAAAATATGAAAATATCCTAAATTAGAAACTGAAATTACAAGCAAGAAAACAGAAACATCATAGGGAATTGCCGAAAATTAGAGCTAGACTGAGTAAGAAAACAGAAGGGAAATGCTCAGTACAACCAGACGCTGTCTCATACTGGCTCCAACGTGACAAACCTGATTTCTGAGCATCCCTGCCCCTCTTCGTAGCCACACTGCGAAGGAACGTCATCCGTACTTTCAAACAGATGAGGGCAGTGGTCATAATAGCGCACAGGGTGGGAAAGTATGATTAAAGAGGATTTAAAAGAATTTTTTACTGTGTTGAATTTTTACTTCGTGATGAGTAACTCAGCAATCAAGTAATCAATCCTATTTATGAACTTGATCACGTGATTTTTTTTATATCATATTCGCTACATAAGGAGAGCTCTGCCCTGTCACGGATCAATAAGAGGCATCTCATGAACTAGAAGCAGCACTGTCAGAAGGAGAGAGACTGCGGGTGGAAAGACACGCTGTGGTCTGCAAAGAGATAACCGGTCACTTACGTAACAGGAGCAGCCCACCAGGTCCTAAAGGGAAAGCGAAAGGGGATTCAAATGCGAGTCTGCAGAACGTCCTTTTATTTCTGAAAGGAAGCAGGGAGAAGTGGCTGAAGTAAGATGCTAGAGAGAATGAAAAGACCTGGCCTTCAACCTGAAATGGAAGCAAGCTTGTCAGGTGTCGTGGGAACCTATCACAGTCCAACTGCAGAAACAGACTGCTCTCTACCATCGGCCTGAGCTGAATGACCGCCACGTCCAGAATCAGGCACAACCCCTCAGTGTCCATTCTCCACCCCAGCCCCACCCCAGCCCCAACTCCCAGTCCTAGTAACTCTTTCTCGACTTTGCTCTTGGCATCCCTCTTCCAGCCCTGACATCAAAAACTTCTTTGGCCCTGCAGCTCTGCCTGTGGGTTGGACCCAAATCTTACACTTCCTTCAAGTCCTCAGTCTGGATGAGCTGTGTTCCCATAAGGCAACAATATTCTGCCACAAGCAAGACCTGGGTTCTGAAGACCACCCCTGACTCTTCCCGACTTCAGAGACTACTCTTGCACAGTGAGTGTAGCGGCAAGCCTGAGGCCTGCGGTACGGCCTGCCTGGCTTCCCAAGGCCTCCACCCTGGCTGGGGAATTCAAGGACAAGACATAATTAACTCTGACTCCAACCCAGGTACTTGCCTGGTGGAGGGGGTTAAGTTCTTACTGAAAATAGCTGCATGGAGCTCTCTTATTCCAGCCCCAAACCTGGGATGGGAGGCAGAAGGAGTTTTCAAGATTTGGTTGTTTAGACATGCCCAGTTTCCCTGGCTTATTGTACTTGATCACCCAGGGCCCACCTGGACACCTCCATCTTCCCCACATCCCATATTTGGTCTATGACCAAGTCCTTCAGAACTACCAGATCGACTTGCCTCCACCTTCACTACTACTACTTACATCCAGAGACTTACGTCAGACAAAAATAATAAAAGCTGGTAGTATTCAAAGGTTTATTACATACCAGGCAGGCACTCTTAAAATTTTACGTAAATTTTCTTCTCTGACAACCCTCTGTATTAGTTTCCTAGGACTGATGTAACAAATTACATTCATCATTAGACTATCCTACATCACCAACATCATGTTGCAAAATTATAGGACAGATCAGTGCGTGGCATGATGCCTGTCACACAGAAGGTGCTTGATAAATAGCTGTGCATAAATTAATGAGATCATGTCACTAGTCTTATCAAAAGTCATCAAAAATTCCACATTGCTTAAAAAATCACCTTCAGCCCTGGCTGGTGTGGCTCAGTAGATAGAGTGGTGGCCTGCAAACCAAAGGGTCGCCCATTCAGTTCCCAGTCAGAGCACATGCCTGGGTTGCAGGCCAGGCCCCCAGTGTGGGGTACAGGAGAGGCAACCACACACTGATGCTTCTCTCACACTCTTTTCCCTCCCTTTCTTTCTCTCTAAAAAAATAAATAAATTCTTTTAAAAATCACCTTCATACATCTCAACAAAGCATTCATCACCCTCTAATCTACCGTAAGATTCAAAAAGAACCTTAGAATGAGACCACCTCTTAAAGCAGGGGTCCCCAACCTCCAGGACACAGACCAGCACCAGACTGGGCCTGTTAGGCACCAGGCCGCACAGTGAGAGGCGAGCTTGAATGTAAGGCCCTTGAATCACCTCCAAACCATCTCTGTCCTCCCCCATCCCCATCCATGGAAAAATTGTCTTCCACGAAACCGGTCCCTGGTGCCAAAAAGTTGGGGACCACTGTAAAGAATGCTGAGATGTCATACAAGAAGAGACTGATAAATTTGGCCATATAAATATCTAAGAGTTCAGCATGAAAAAATGTCATAGTTAAAAAAATGGCCTGCATAAACATGCTCAATACAAGTTACCCCCAAGCCTAATTCCCCAAAGACGCAAATAGCTGCTGAAGAAACAGGCACCTCCATTTATTGTTTGTAGCAATGTAAACTGGGGCAGCTACTCTGAAGGGAAGTTAATAAATAAAAATACAAATTCATCTCCTCTTAGCATTGCCACCTCCAAAAACTTATTCTATAGATTATCCCTCACCTTAGCACAAAGTGACTCACTGCTATACCCTTTGCAATAAAAATGTGTTGGAAATAACCTAAGTGCCTGCCAAGAGAAGATGGTAAATTCATTATGGTACAACTGGATCGTGGGATATCATGAGGCCCTTTTGAAATGAGGCATGTCTATGTGCCTTAGTGTGGAAGAGGTTAATCCATTTTATAAGCCACAAAAAGGACATATATGTATATGCACTTATAGTCTATGTCTACATATGAATATTTTTGGAAGGATAACCCAGAAACTTGTATTTGCCTTTGAGAAAACAACTGTGACACGGATGCAGGGGTGGAAGGAAGATTTATTTTTCACTGTAAGCACCTGTGTTGTTTGTATTTATTTAGACGTGTGCTTGCATTGTCCATGAGAGAGAGGAGGAGGAGAGAGAAAGAACACACCACTTTTCACCTAGTTTCCCAACTTGATCTCATACTGTACTTGCCTTTCACCAGACAATTCACTGCTTCCCAAACACACTGAGTATATTTATGCTGGGTGTGTGCATGTGTGTGTGAGTGTCTAGGGCTCCATCACCCTCACCACTCACACTCTCCGCCTGTGGAAGTGCTGCTCCTCCGAAGCTCTGCTGAGCAGACTTCCTGGTCTTCAGTGTTGGAACGAGCCACTCGTACCTCCGCACTCAGAGAACTCCTGGTGCTGGACCTACAGGTGTGCCTGCAAGCTGTCAGCCTCGTTTGATTAACCCCCACTGGGAAGCACTCATCTTGTTGGCCTCTGCGTTCCCCGGAGTAGCTGGAACCTGGCGCTACTGAACGAGTGCTATTTACCAAAATAACATTAAGCAGAAGAGTCATCTAGGAAAACGTGTTTTCTACAATGACCCAGTTTTAAGGGAGTTAGAGAAAAATATCTAGTTCAAATATAGAAATCCTACTTCACATGAGTATCTAAAATAGCAAAAAAGCGATCCGCAAAGTTGAAAATAAAGCAAATACTGCATAGCAAATAGAATTATTACAAGACAGAGATGTATGTGAAATGAAGTAGGAAGCTATGCTTTAAATATATTAGAGGTCAAGAGAAAAATGAAAAAAAATTTCATTTATAATATAGAAAAGATAGCTCTGACATTTTATTTCTTGATTTTTTTTTTAGCCAGACACACCAACCCTGGAGATAAAACACACAACACTGATTTTCATCACGAAGCACGCTACCTCTCAGGGTGTCCCTCACCCCCTCACATGGAAGGTCCATGGCCATGTCATTTGCTCAATTGCTTCACAGTCACCTCCTTTCCTAAGCAAGTTTTCCTAAATCGCATACATTTACAGTAACTTTTTTTTTACTACTTACTTTTTGCTGTCATTAAACCCATTTCCTCTTGTCCTTGGTGACATGGCCGTGTAGAGGGTCACGTGACTCTCTATATTTAACTTCCATGTATCCTAAAGAACGCCATGGTAACTATGGACTAATGTCTATAAACAAAAAACCGATTTTCTGTGCCTCTAGAATATTGGTACTGTGCATCAGGTCCACTTCTGAACTTATAATAACATACAATAAAATAAGGTATAATGAAATAAAAGTGTACAGTGGCAACAATCGAAAGTTTACGTCAACTTACTGTTAATGCTGTTTCGTACTCTCCAGCAGCCAAGTATGCTAAGCCCAAGTAATAGGAAGCTTCGCCTTCCATCTTTTTGTCATTTCCTGATGTGAAAGTGCAGAAGAATTACCATGGCTTTAAGGAAATCGATTTATGATAACAAACAGGATATTTGCTTTTTTAAGACAGTAGAAAGTTACTATAACAAAGTATACACGTTTATCAACCATCCCTGAAATCTAACTGTATACTGGTTTTTAAAAAAAGTCTGATGTTAACACAATCGACCCAGACCACACACGTTAAAGTGCATTAGCAATGTAATTAGGAGGCGCTGCCCTCCCACACAGACCAGTGCCATCATCCTGAGATTCGTGCGAACTGTCTAGGCTGCTCCGCCACATGAAGACCGAGGCCAGCCAGCACTGCTGCTACCATGTACCTCAGATACCTGGTAAAGAGAACCAACGTTATATGGCGCACAGACGTGCACACACACACACACACACACAACACCGACACTCAGCTAAGTCTCTGACATGGCAGCTAATTAGCAAATTAAGGAATTGTACTTTTTTGATTAGGTCCAATTTAAAAGCTGCTGGTTAAAACTTGGATGAGAATGACTGACAGAGTTTTACTTGTTGTTACAATACAAAATTCCACACACGTTTTGAAATCCAAACTCATTTTTCTTTGCTTAATGACTAGTAATGCTTTTCATCACCTTTCACAAGGAATTTTAGCCTTTCTAATCTCTGTGTAATGCATTTTATTCCAGGAATTATCAACTTCTTTCCACAAGCAGAATGTGAAACATGTAACATGTGGTCCAATGAGACATACATCATACATTCTCATAAACATCATTTGTTCACATTTACTGTATAAAATATAACATATAAATCTAGTATATATATTAACATTACAAAACCATTACAAAAACCATTCACAATTTTTATGCACAGCAAGAACAGTACCCATTTTCTGCTTTTGGAAGTCTTTGGCTTTCAATGTTACGGTACTCCCAGGTAACGCGAGTGCTGACAGACGCACCCTCATTTTTGATCCTCAGAAAGAAAGTACCAAATTGCATATATAGAACTTTCTATATATGGGTTTCTGAACTCTGCATCGCCACCTCCGTGGGTTTCAGCAGGAGCTAGCAACCCTCTGTGCTGCCTTCCCCCTCACCAGCCAGTGAGTCAGTACACATGGAGCAGGGCTCACACGGAAGGAGGGTGGCAAATGACAGTGACGGCACTTTTTCTTCTCTAGCAATTCACACCAATGGCAGAGAAGTATACCCCCATGAATTCACTTCAGCACAGTTGATAGAGCAGTGATCCAGTCTAGGGAATTTTAACTCTTAAAATTCCTCAGGGCACTAACTCTCTCTCTGAGTCCAAGAATGCTGGGGTCAGAGTGAGACTCGGGAAGAGGAAGATGGGGTAAAGGAGGAGACTAAAAAGGAAAGTTGCCTTTGAATGATGAAGCTTGTTGTGTGTGGTTTGTGCTTGCTGTACTAAGTGGTGTCACTGGGTTAAGCACCGACAACAGCATGCGCTGATGAGTTATCATTATTTGCATCTAATTCTATGCAAAGGGTGTCCCAGCAAAGAGGAGAAAAAAAATCTACCCTTGTTGATAGAAAAATTTGGAGACCGCCAATTTAAATAAATGGATCACATCAAATACTAGTTTTAAAATAGAATTTAAGCATGAGAACTTTTCCTGCTCACTAGTTGAGACAAAGTTAAGATAAGTGGATGCAATAAAAATAACGGGAAAAAAATGTCAGCACTATTACAGATGAGAGACTTATATGGAACAACAAGGTAAAATACTATGAATATGTTGTGTGGTTTGAGTGGGCTGAATTAATACTGGCTTTGCTATCTAAATCGACAATGATTTATCTTAAAGAAAATACCATGTTTTTATTTTCAAGACTCCAGGGGCCATCCTTTCCTTTTGGACTACCTTACAATTTAGCAAATGTGAACCTAAAGTAAAATACCACCTCCTAATTGATACACTACATTGAAATTGCACATAACTTTCTAGGTAACTAAAGTCAGCTGCTGAAATCGACCCGAGAGCCCCCTATGGACAGCAGGGCTTCCTCTTTGGGGAAGGTACTAGATCACCGTTCATTCAAAGGCCATTCATGCAAGGAGATACATCCTCCAGTGGGGGTGATTTCCTAAGGGTATTCTAACTAATGTTGTTAAAAGACACAATGGAGAGAATGCGTTGTTCACTTTTACTCTTTAGAAAAATTAAAATTAAAATTAAAAATCAGTCTTGCTTACTCCAGCTAAGCCATCTGTCACTCCCATAGATCAGATGTAGCCAGAAGCCAATCAACTTCAGGTCAAGAACATAACTTCTATCCTTTGCCTTCATGAAAAGGCTACTCTAATAATAAATCACTATGTGGTAATAAAATGTCCTTGCACTTCACAAAGTAAAAACTAGATGAGTAGAGGCTCCACATTCTCGATACTTTCTATATATGCAAATAGTATAGAATATCAAGGATCGGCTTCCACAAAAGTGTTTTTACTGCTCTAAATGTGCATATGAATCCCCTGAGGATCTTGCCAACCTGTGATTCTGATGCAGTAGGTCCTGGGTGGGGTCTGAGGTGCTGCTTTTCTTACAAGCTTTCTGGCGATGCTGATACTGCCCATCCAAAGTCCACACTTTATGGGAAAAAGTCTAAAATATATTAGAGTTCTATTTCTCTGCTACTCCTGACTAAATATTTACCATATCTTCCCTATTACCTGACAACAGGGAATTTACAAACAACAAAAGGTCTCTTGGATTGAAAGATTAATAAGACCTTACACACGCACACACGCACACCCCACCCCCTTAGTTTTCGCAAACGACCTTACTTTCTCATTATGGGCTCGTTGTTTTATAACAGGGCTCCCAGAAGGTTGTAATTTTGGAGATAAAGCTTTCAAGAAACTAATGGATTTCTTGTTGTCAGCACCGAGGCACCTCTGTTTTACAGTGAAATTTGAAAGTATATTGATGGCATTTGTCTTTGCATTTCGTAGGAAATAATCACCCAAACACTGACGATTTTTATGCCACTCTTGGGAGAAGCAGCATCTGCCCATTAAAGGAAGCGATGTGAGAGCGTTCCTTTCCACTCACCTTCTTTGGCTATTTCAGAGGCTTTTATTAGAATTCGGATGGCCTGTTTGTAATCTTTATTTTCCAGCATTCTGTCGGAGAGTAATCTGTAGGTCCTCAGGAGACTCTCACAGGCCAACAAGTTGAGAAAGTGGCCTGTCTCATCCTTCCATATCCGCCCTTGCGTCAATTGATGGAATGCTTCATAATGCTCGGCAGCTTCCAGGAGCCGACCTGGAGAATAGAAGCCATTCATAAACATAAACCACAGGCCAGAACATGTTTTCAAAGTTTTTGTGTACATCTTATGTTTTACTATTAAAGGGTGGGGAGGGGGCATAAAATAGAGTCAAGGATTTGTAAGCCTGAAGATGACCTAAGCTGGAAAAGCAGCTGCTTCCATTTGGAGCTCAAATTTAGCATTGATTTCGGATGGACACCTGCTAGGAGGATGTACTTTGGCTGGTGGAAGTTGACTAGGATTACGGATGTTTAGGAAAAAGTGTGAACATCCAGCAATAATTGTTAATGACAAGTCATATGAGCCAACATTCATTTAATATCACATAGGCAAAGCACTGTTCTTTGTGCTTTATATGCATTTCTCACTGAACAGTCCCATGGAATAGATTCATGAGTCCATTTTACAGAAGAGAGAGTGAGGGTAAGAATTTTTCCCAAGACGGCAAGCCTAGTGGGTGAGTACTCCAGGCAGTCTGGTCCTAGAGCCCGAACTCGCCACCATGTCCTGCACTGCTCCCCCGGCAGATCACAGGCTTCACTCTCAAGAATAATCTGGGCATCTTTGGAAGGGATACATCGGTTGCTACAAACTCAAATTCAAATATTATGAGTCTTTAAACTACTTCTCAAAATTTGACTGAACTTTCCAAGCAGGCACGTGTATACAGTATTCTGTTTAGTATTGAATAATTAAAGTGTAACTTAACTGCCTTCCTGGATTATATTTTGTAATATAGATCTTCAGATAGATCTTCTGAAATCCAAAACTCGAAAGTAGCTTTGAGCCATTTCACTCCTTGAAGTATGAGCAAGCCCATTTCTGGAAGATAGTTTGCAGCTGTGGACTGTGTTTTACTTGTGAATTGCCTTGTGAAAGGCTCACAGTATCCTGTACTTGGTGCGGGAGCTTCCTCACTGGAATCAACTGAGTTTGGCATTCAGGTGGTAGTGGTTAGGGTGAGCCAGCCGGAGCTCCTACCTCCACTTCCCTTTTCCTTTTCTGTCGTTTAGCCTCGGGCTAATTACTACCCTCCCTGTGCCTGGAGTTGCAGAATTCTTCTGCAAAATGAGATTGTAGTGTAACCATTCAAGGTGCAATTATGAGAAATGAACACCTGATACAGAGTAGGTGCTCAATAAACACAGCTACTGTTATCAGTTGACAGTGATAACAGTTTTTAAAAATCCAACAGGTTGACTGAAATATAGGCATAATTTTTTTATATATAAGTACAACTTATTCTTCCTGCAAAAACCACAGTTGAGTCCTTATAACAATATGGTCATGATTGATTAAATTAACTCTATTTAGGTCATATCGGGCTCAATGCACTTCCTCAGATAGGATTCACCGGATATCACAGGTTGGGCATTACGGGATAGTGCAGTTGCTGCCAAACAACTGCATATAGTTTCCCCTTATTTTCGCACTGAGTTTGTTATCAGCATCACCAATACTAAAGTATGAAAGGATGCACATATAACAAGTAGTATTCACACAGAGACACAAAAGAGATGGATCATGAGCAAACAGTCTGCACCGAAATCCAGTAAAGGCGTGGCCCATCTGGGTGCCCGCTGTGCCATGCCAAAGGAGGGCACATCAGCAGAAATACAAACATGATAAAAGACCACAGAGTCACACATGTGATACTATTTAAGACTATTTCATGACATGGGCTGGTGCTCATGATAAGGGAAAATATTGGAAAATAGCAGAAAACATTTACAAAACATTATCAGAATTATTTGGGTGATGAATTTCTTTTCTGCTTTTATTTCTCTCTGTCATCACTGGCATTTTCTAACACTTCTATCATAATAATATATTCCTTTGTAATAAGAACAATACAATAGAAGCTACTTTTTAAATAATGCCCAATCCCTTTCCATTTTTGATACAAATACTCCAGGTTGAAGTTCACTCCTCTAATCTATCTTTGCATTTAACTGACCATTTTTCTTTACCTCCCACAAAAGCAGGCGCAGCTTGTCATCTCTCCCACCAGAAACACCTTTCTCCAAATACCCATGACCCTCATTTTTTAAAAAACTCGAATGAAGCACTGACATATATGTGTGTTATGTTTCCTCTGTTAACTATATTTCTGCCTGTAAAGTATGGCCCTGCATCCTTGGAAAGATGGATACAAGAGTTCTTTTTTTCTACCCAGCATCCATCTATTCATAAAGTCCAGACACCTATTTTTCCTTGGACGTGTGAATTGGAAAGGGTGGTACAGGGAACTGTGAGTAAACCAGATAGTTCCAGAAAAAAACTGGGCATGCAAGGAAACCAGGCAGGCCCTAGCAACATCGATGGTCACACACAGTCACCAGGGGAGAAGAGGGTTCAAGTTTAGGCTGTAAAATAACAGAGTCACTGAGAATTCCACGAGGTGAGCCAGGAGATGAAACGCCGGATAACCCCACTAATTACAGCAACGTGAAAATGAGGCATAATGAAATAAATTAAATATGAGAGCTGACAGTCATGTTCAAGGTGTGATTTACTTGGGGGCCAAAAATAAAGGTGGAGGGAGGCAAGGAGAATGTAAAATGTGGGGGAAGGGAAGGTGGAGGAAATGGGGAGGGGGTGGAGATAGGGGAGAGGGAAGGAAAGGTGGGAACTGTGCCCTTGTTTTCCATATAAACAGACTTCCTTCCCTTTGTCACTGATGCCATTAGGCATCCTAGACAGGCTTTCCAATCAGGGGTGAAGTAAGGGAGGCACTTGGTACATTGGTGTTGCTTGGTTACTATGGAAGTTGGCCTCGGAATGACTGAGAATAGTTATTTTTGGTTGAGCTTGATTTTTGCTAGGGCTTTGGAACTACTAGTGCTTAGCTCATGATTAATAGCCAAGGTTCTGACCTCAGAAGAGTCTACCTGCGTTCTCTGACAGGGAAGGGTCACGGTCCAAGATGTGCAGTTAAAAGAGAACAGGGAACTGTTCTTTCCTGAGGGCCTGCTCGGTGCAAGTCAAAGGGATGGCTTTCCTCTGCCCTCGCCACACATTACCTTATTCAACCTTCAAAAACTGGTGAAGTAAATATTGCTTTTCCACTAAAGAGAAAGCTTGAAGTTCACAGAGGTTAAGTGATTCAAATACATAAAAGGCGACGTGTAGGATTTAAACCTAGGATCCTGGGAAACACACACAGCTTCATTCCATCTCACCAAGTACTAGTCAACAAACCGAGTCAGGAATCTCCAGTAAAGTAAGTTCTATGCTCTGGACATAAATCTCTCAAGTTAAAAGAATGCTCAAATCATGTGGTTTCTAGTCTCTTCTGATTTATAACTCTGTGACTCTACTCCAGCGACCACAGATAACCTCTAACAAAAAACACAGGTATCACCACCTGGCGTGCTTCTGATGGGTCCTTCTGAGGGAGTCAGAGGTACAGCTGACCATGTGGCCTGCACGGAGATTCCCTGCTTCCCCTGAGCCATGCAGTGACCCCTGTGGGGCACCTGGAGACCCTCGGGTGCCCCCAACTGAGTCACCTGTGGCCATATCTGGCTCTTCCTGGTTCCGCCTCCCTGCCCTGTGTCACTTTGCTGCAGACGTGGTCCCTGGGGATGCTGATCAGCACTGTTTTTACACTGAAGTGCCCACCCAGAGGAAGTGGAGTTGTCCAGTCCTTCTCAGATGCAGGGATTCAGTTCTAACATCATCTGGAGGCAAATAGGTCCATAAATAAGCCAGGAGGGATTTGGTCCAAATGACCGTAAGTGTACGAACGGCTTAACTAAAACTGCTACAGGCTGGTCAGAATTGGAAAGTGCATATTATAAAATAATATAATATTCAATTTAAAATATTAAAATATATGTCTATACTATAAAGAGAGCAGAGTAATTTAAATATGCAACTATTTCCCTTTAAGCATGATTAACAATGATAGGATTTCCATCCAATTTATATTTCCAACTGTGAATAGGGTTTGAAAGATTTTATTACTTTCTGCTAGTGACTCTGATATTGAGACTAGATATTTATTAAAATGTAATACATCTTTTTGCAAATTTAAGTTTAAGTTGAATATACCTGAGAGAAATACCGTAAATGGTCATCAATAGAATGATGATCATTTTGACAAAACTAAATGTAAATATAAATAAAGATCATGCACCAGGCTTTCCAATTTAGCATCGCTTTATAACTTCTTGAAAGTATTCATATATAGTCTATCTTTTATCATCAAACTTTAAAAAAATAAATTTGAATACAGTAGAACCAGGACAGGTTCCAGGTTCTACCATCAGTCTCACGGAAGGACAAGTGTCTAGATAGCTGTCCATTTCTAGAATTATCAAATGCAAACATTCCTTCCTATTAAGGAAGAGGTCAGAGAGAAGAATGATTACACCAAAGTATCACAAAAATCAAAGTTAACTGAAATCAGGACAGGAAAGGGAATCCTTGGGTACCAAGCATAAATGTTAAAAGTCTCCTGAGGAGACACGAGTTCTCTCAGGTACTCGCCAGGAATCGCCAACAAACCTCATCACAGTGAGTAACATGGACCACAAGAGTGATCTCGACGAGGAAGACATACTACAGATTGCTCCCTTAGGTCCCCAGAAACATACAGAGAGTCCACTAACATTTCAGGTGACTTGGGGAAGAAAATGGAACCAAAATATTTTGTTGGACAGACTGGAGATGGCCTTCCACCAATACCATCAGTAAGCAGTTCATCACAACGACATGAGGTAGCATCTGACAGCACATCTTGTAGGAGTCACGCCATGAAAACCTGTATAGAAGAAGAGGATCCAGGTATGGACAGAAGTAGCCTAAACCTCAGGGTTTGGGTTTTTTTTTAAACAATTACAAGATGTTTACATAAACAATAAAAAGGTTGGCACATAAAGGACACATATTTCTTTTGTCACATAAAGGAAAGTGCTTTCAAAATAAAACTACTAGAAAGGAGTTTCACTTTATCTAAAGCCCACACAAACATGGAATCTACCCATTT